CGTTTTAGATGCGTTCACACGCATGCCGGTCACGTCGTACTCGGCTGCGAACCTTTCTAAGGAGCACTGGGAATCATTTTCAGAGGATGCTAATAAAGCAAGGTCGTCTGCAAACAGCAGCATTCTCGACTGCATATCTCCTCCACCGATACTCTCATCGCCTTGGCCGCTCCTGTTTATTCCATCCATGTACAACATAAAGATGATAGGGAACATGGCTCAGCCTTGGCGGAGAACAGTGCTAACGTGGAAAGATTTTGACTTAACGCTGTTTGCTCTGACGCCAGCACCTGCAACCAGAATACAGTGACTAGATGGCCTTTAGCAGCTGGCCATCTATCCCGTATGCTCGCAGACATGACAACAGTTGTGTGGGATCCGGTCACAGGCTCTTTCTAGATCAACAAAACTCATGTACTCCTGACGGGCGTACTCCCACGATTTCTCAACGATCTGGCGCAAGGCAAATATTTCGCCACAGGTGCTTCGACCGGGCCATAAGCCACACTGCTTTTCTTGAATCTTGACGTCAACTATTTCACGGCACCTACTTTCTCGCACTTTTGCGTAGACTTTACCTGTTGCCTCAGTAACTTTATGCCCCTATAATCAGAGCATTCTTTGTGGTCTCCATTTTTGAATATGGGTACAACAACTCCCGTTCTCCAGTCCGCTGGTGTCTTACCCTCACTCATCGCAGTTTCATAGACACGTGTTAGCCAGCACATGCCTTATTCGCCTAATGCCTTTAGCATGTCAGGGCTGATTTCGTTAGTTCCAGCAGCTTTTCCATTTTTGAAGCTTTTCACAGCTTGTGTAATTTTAATGTACAGAGATAGTAATATCCATTCCCTTCTGCTCTACAGGGGAGTCTTTCTGCCGTTGCGCGGGGTTAAGGAGTTCCTCAAAGTACTCCCTCCTTCGCCGAAGAATGTCATCATCCTTGGTAAGAGGGTGTCCAGATCTTTCCTTCGAGATTCTGAGACTACCCGTCTTTTCACCTCGTAGTCGGAGGATGGTCTGCCAGAATACTTTGTTTGCCGTGTGGAAATTCGACTCCAACACCTCACCGAACTTCTCCC